GGGGAGGGAGGGAAGGGCAGTAGGGGGATTGGCGAGGCGATTGCGAGGGGGTGGGTTGGGTGTGAGTTGAGGTTTTTGTTCCCCGCAGCGCATGGAAATGGGGGGTGTGCTATACTTGGACATGGGGCAGGACAGTATGTACAGTACGTATGAGGAAGAGGCAAGCAAGGCGGAGAGGAAGTGAATACACAGAAATGGGCAACTGCAAAAGCAACAATGGCAACGACAGCAAATTTGTTTGGGCGCCTTCCCCTTGGGCGACGGGGAACGCACACCTGCGGTCCCCTGCGGTCCCCTCGTCACGACATCACGACACTGCGGGTGTGGGGGGAGGGGGGGGGGAAGCCCCGATGCTATTATTTCGTTGTTTCAAGCGGTATGACACGGTGTCACCGTACGGCTCGTACTCGCTCTTTCTGCCAGGCAAGGCACCCACGCGCCTACGTACTCGCGCCGCCGCCTCTTCGCTCGCCGACAACGGGCGCGCATGGTGCACGGCACTGGTGTCATGCGAGCGGTGTCATGCGAGCCGTTCGGTCCCGCCGTGCGCCTGCACCTTTTCCATTCCATCGTCGGCACAAGGTGTCTCGCTTTACGTACAGCCCGACGCGCGCCGCGGTGAGGCACGCTGGGCAAGACGCAAGACGCAAGACGCAAGACGCGAGACGCAAGACGCCAGCGATGTCGTCAGCCAGCCCAGGTAAGGTGACACTCAATGAGAATGAGAGTCCGCGTGATGGACCTGCAGTCCACCACACCGACTCTTTTCATTGACACCTCCATTCCCGCCGGACGATGGCACAGTGCTGTGCGCATCACGGCACAGGCGCCACTGTGCCGTGATGAAGGTTATCCTTCATGCTGCCTGGCAATGTCACAAGCAAAACAAAAGCCTGCCAGGGCTCCCCTGTTGTCGACAGCGGTCCTGCACAAGTTGCTGACTTTTTTCCGATCAAAATAATAAAATCTGCCAACGAAGAGCAGCCTCCGTGCCCAAACCCCCCGAAATTATTTCTATATTACTAGTTGCGCCGGGCAGTGCGCCAAGCAATCGCCTCCTACAGTACACAACGGCGATATCCTCTTTTTCACCCTCCACCCTCCGCTGCACCCTCCTCTCTTTCATCTCCATTCCCACCCCGACATGTCCTCTGCTCTGTCCGAACCCCATCCTCTCGCGACCGCAACGGCCCGAGCTCTACGAGCCACACTCTCCCATTTCTTTGTTTTGGTGGTGTCATGCGCAACCCAGCTTTTCATCCCAGCTTTTCATCCCAGCTTATCAACCCAGCCTACTGTACAGTAACTCAAGTTTATTGTACTGAGTACAACGAATCGTGCTTGCCTTGCCCGGTTTTGCCCGGAATACTTTTAAATTCTTAAGAAATACCGTATGCTTCTTAAGCCCTGGCTTTTCTTAAACTCAAAAATTAAAATGTAGGAGCCACTCATAGCACGCCAAATCACCTCTTTGGGCAAAGCAAAAGCAAACTGCAGAAAAAACGGGGCATGTTAAGACACACCCTCAGGGCGTGTCTTAACATGCCCCGTTTTTTTGACGACATTGTCTGCCAAGCGAGACTGGTTCCTCGTACGACCTCGAAGGCAGACCTCGAAGGCAGATTCAAATGAAAGGCGATCGGGGCATGTTGCTACAGTGTACAGTAAGGGTACAGTACCCAACGGTACTGTATTGGCCGTAATTACTGCAATGGAAAGCAATGGAAGGCAGAGGGAAAGTGCGGGTGCAGCGATTCGTTGTACTCTCAGTACTCAAAAACGGGGCATCTACATCGACAGCTCTGTGCACCGACACGGTAAACCACTTGATTTACAGTGGCCTCTAGGATAACGCAACCAACTTAACCATTGCTCGGCACCTACTGTACAGCACCGTACAGTATTCCTCAACAAAACCCCATTCTTGAGAAGCGAGGCGCACTGCCCACATTTGCACATCTTCTCTACACTCTCAACTTTTGATACCCAAATACGTTCAATATTTGGGCGTGCTCTTTTCACCCACTGTCTTGCTAACGAGCATTGTCTGCCACATCGCCCTACGCGTCACCGACCGCTTCCAAATTCTCGTTTCCTCCTCGCAAACCAATATCAACTTACTGCAGAGCCCCCACATCCTACATCACCGAACGTATACAACGTTAACAACCGCCCAAACCTACCCGCCAAACATCCTTTTTCGAGAAACGGCCCTGCGACAAACACCTGTGTCCATCAAATGCGAAAACTCGAGTCTGCTTGCATTTTGCCCCTCTTTGCTGCTCTTCACACACCGCTTTTGAAGCCCTACATCCTACATACATGTCCAACCCTCCTTATTAGTCCGTACAACACGCCCTCTTCTTTCCTCTAGTGTACCTCTCTTACCACGACTCCAAGTGTAACGCGTGTGAGAGGCGTTGTTTGTAACAATTCCCTGCGCTCCCCCCAGAACTGGTGCGCCTAGTGCTTTCATTTCGGACATATGCAATTGCTGTTCATGTGAACACCGAAAGCACTGTACTGTACAATACTTTCTGCTACGGTACGGAAGCACAGGTTTGCAAAAAAAAAAATGAAAAAACGAAGACGCTGCCATAGAGGTCATCTGCAAGTCTCATGTCTCGCTGCAGCCCCACCACTGATCAGCCTTGTGCCATTTGACCACTGCATTTGTTACTCGTGCATTGCCTTGCATACTGTACAGGTATGTCAAGAAAGGCAAGAAAAACATGATTACCACACATGAATAGCGTGCCGAATGCTTGGAGCTCCAGCCTGGAACCGTACATTACCATCATCCTTGCGAGACACAACAGCACAGGATACGGTATGTCATTTAGTAGGAGACGTATGTTTTCACTACAGTAGTGTCTAGACGACAAGTGACCTCATATGAGGCTTCTTTTCAATTTATTTTTCTCTACTTGTGCTTGTTCAACAAGAAGGAAAGAGATACTCCCGCCACTGCAATTGACTTCTGTGTTGCGCAAGGATGGAGTTTGGTAAGATCTGTACAGCCATTTTTAGAATGCCTTAAAAAGAAGCCTTTTTGACCAACCTCTAAACGTTAGGATGACCCCACCGCGCCTTGCCCAAAATCGCAAAAAGCAGACAGTTGTCCTCCGGTAATTGGATCTACTATCTTTTAATCAAGCCGCGCTTTGGGGGAGGTGGTGATTCAGAGATGAACCCCACCGCGCCTGTAACACGATACTTCTATCATATTCAGGGTCACCCCAATTAGGCTACAAGTCTGTCGTAGAAATACACCTTTGGCGCAAAGAAGCAAGCTACTGCACGCGTCTGTTGCACAATTGGCGCAAAGTCATTTGGAAGAGCTTTGGTAGAGCTGTAAGCACATGAAATTCAGATGTTTTCTGTACCGTTACTATAGAACGAAGATCGCCCAAACGGCGCTTTGGACAAAAATCTCGACCAAATAATTTTGGTTTGGAAAAGAATCCTGCCCAAATTCTAAACTTTAGGACAAATGCTGGAGCGGTGGGGTTCAAAATCTCTTCCATCGGTCCAAACTTTAGTAGTTGGAATTTTAGGACTGAAATTTTGTTGGCGATGGGGTCACCCTTACGTGTCGATATCTTCGAAACCAAAGCGCCTGTGTAAAATGTCAACTGACTATTGAAACTTCAATGGATTCTTTTTAGCCTTTCTGTGTATTCATAACTGCTATCCCAATGCTTTGCATGATGGTATTGCCGAGGGCATGTACGTTAAAGAAATGGTGTCCAAGCGGATTTTATAAAATTTCGATTTAATAACGTTGTCCGTAAAGTCACGAAAACGCGTGTTTCGGCGGCGAGTTTCCTCGGATTTTCTGAACGCAAATTTTTCAAACAACGCGTTTGGCAAAACTCACAGCAAACCGAAAACTCGGGCCATGTGAGTTTTCCACGAGTTTCATATCCGCCTGATCACAGCAGTGCCGGATCGACCCGTCGTGAAGAAAAACGAAGTGGGTCTTCCGTTCTTTTCAACAGCACAAACGAGTCTCAGACTGCAAGGGTCGTATCGATATGCGTCATGGACGCCCCTATCGCTTCATCTGCGCAGAGTCCATCAATGGATCAAAGCGCGACAGGATCTGCCACAGATGCTGCCGAAGCAACCGCGAAAGAAAGACAAATAGAAGCTTCTAAAAAGAGGTCCTCTCTAAACTTTCCCCCTCAGCTTGTCAAGAAGACGAAACATATCGCCCTTTCGGCTGAGAACCTTTCTATCCTTGGGGCGAGCTACAATATTCACTTTAGCGAGTATTCGCGCGGGTGCACGTGATCCGTCGGGCGGCACAACGATATACTGTACCAGACTTCCGTTTGTTGCGAGCAGGTACCTTGCTGGAGGTCTGTACGCAAAACTCGTGGGATTTTTCAAACTCGGCTTTCCTTTGCGTCCAGCGAGTTTGTGGGCAAATGGAAAAAAACAAGCGTTATTTTACGGACAACGTTAATGTTTTTGCAAAAAAAGCTGGCCTCAAATCGCTTGTTGACAAACAACTTCTCTCTAGAAACTGACTACGTATGTACAGTACCTTCGAAGGTTCTAGTTACAATAAAGGTCGACCATTCAAGGTACATGCTTTCGGATGCATCACAGAGGTGGGTGCGTCTGCTCAGAAAATGAAATTTTCTTTCAAGCTCGACATCCACTGCCTGCTCTTCAGTATGTTGCGGAGGCTTTTTTTTTTTTTTTTTTTGAGCGGAACACGATTGAAGAAACCATTGCTTCCCCTTCTCCAGTCACACGCTGACAAACACATTTTGCCACAATATGTACGCGAACTCGGTAGATATCCGTCGAAGGGTAAACGGCAGTTTCCCTTTTCACGCTTCCGTGCCTCAATTGCGGATGTGGAGTCGCAGGAGTGCTTTGCATAGAGCAGACGTCCAGGCAAGTTTGTTTTGAAAGCAAAGTCAATCCTTCGCTGTCGAACGGCAGCAACTAAAAAAACGATCTTCTACCACTAAGATCGTTTGTCGGCCACCATGACAGCCACACGGACTGATGTAAACATTCAGGCCTGTGTTCACTATGGGGACCGAATCAGGACGATTGACGAAGGCTGATGTTCAAGCGTTAGCGAACCGACTCCGTAGTAAGATTACAACGGGAAAGACTAGGAGTTCAGATTGCATTCGTCACAACAGAGGCAATGCAAATGTCGTAGTCTGCGCGCACACTCACTCACAAACTTTGAAATACTTCTGTGCCTGTTGTTATATTCATGAATACTTTCCCGAAGAGAAGTCACAAAGTTCAAGTCTCTTTCTCATCAAAAATAATGATTACATCTCATTTTCTCAAAGACGTCAAATGCGGAATGCAAATATCCCTGTCCGCCACGGATAATATGCTTCTAAGAGAGGGCACGACATGGCAACATGTTAAAAGCTCACAGATACGTGTTTATATTTTCCAGAAGGAAGCAAGCACAAGCCCTTAGAATTAGCCAAAGCGACTCTCTCGGCCATGATAATGCAGCCCCTCACCCGCGACAAAGCCAATCAACCGCTTCAAACGGAAAGCTCGAGCACAAGTTATTTCCTCTTATTGCACGACAATCCGCATCCAACAAACTGTAACTTAATTCTTGCTGTCCTCCGCTTGCTTAGCGTACGCCTTCTTCTTTGCCTCGTCACGGGCATCCATGGCGGCCTTGAAGAAAAGCTCGTAGCCGGCTTCCTCATCGCCTTCCCAAAGAGCATTGTGCATAAACTTGTCGTGCAACCAGTCCATCAGACTCTGTTTTTCCTTTCCCCCATCAGCGGACATGCGCACGACGCCAGTTGGTCGTTTCGCTGCGAGGGATTTTGGCCGCGCAACGCAGACGGCGGTGCCGAAGGTTGGGGTACGGCTTGACGTGAGAGGAAGCGATGATACAAATGCTGGGGCCATGGCGAGAACCAGTGCGCTATGGCAGAAACTCGGAGAATCGAAGTGGGAAGGAGGTCTGGGACAGTGGTAGCGGGAAAGATACGCCGAGATTGTGGAGGAGAACGGAGCTGTGGTTGTGTTCACCTCGGAAGAATTGTGCCACAGCCCGTGGCAGGCTGCTTCGTTTGATTGAGAGGCCAGGAGCTATGCTTAGTAATTGGCGGGGAGATAAAGATTTGCACGTGGCATCGACGTACACGTGTACGGCTGTAGATGGCGGATGACGCTTGCATCATGGATCCTGAAATTTGCAACTTTATGCGGAGCTTTGAACACAGCAATGCGGCGGGAACAGGTGTGCTTTCAATTGTTTTTTTAAAACTCAAAAGCAAACAAAAATTAAATCGGCCTTCAACAGGGACCCCTCAACAATATTTACCATATTGGTTTGCGTAAACACTATTCACTATAATCTAATTCCTCAGACGACAACGGTACATCTGTACCCTGCCGCTACTCGTTCTACGTCGAGGAGGAAAGGCCGGCGTCTTCAAAACCCCTTTTCCCGCAGTTAAAAGAACAGGTCATCTCGAATAAGCTTGTCTAGTATATCTATTGTAAAGTTGCTCCTAACAATTCTTGAGCTGAGTCAGTAACGCCTTGGATGAATGCCGAAAAAGATTGCGCCGCAGCCCCTGGCACTGGGTCTTCGATCAACAACGACTTAAACCAGCGGTCTTTTGAGGTTCCTTCTCTGCAAATGATGCACTTCGGTGTTATCGGTCGGTCTCGTATGCTTGCTGCTCGTAGTCTCATTATCAGGCTAGATTCAGGAGGGGGGAACGTCAGGTCGCGACGGTTGGCCTGCGCGTAGTAGATCACAACTTCTGAAAATGCATCGAGCATAAATATCGGGTGTCCGCTCTGTTTCACTTCGAGAGAGGACAACGCAAGCGCTTTGATGCTTTTCTCATCTAAGTTCAAAAATGAAAATAGCCGGGGGTATGCAGCAGCTGTTAGCAGTTCCGGGCTCAGGTCTTCCCATATGCACCGCAATGAAGCCCTTACATCTGGTGAAACTGATTCTTGTCGGAACAGAAAGCTTCGTATGAGCCCAAAGACGACCCGCGGAATCATCTTCAAAGATGGATAGTTGAGTAGTGACGGATCAATTCTCAATTCCTTTTTGTCATCGGCAAACGGAATCGCAGTCTTTGCCAACAAGTTAGCGAGCCAGTCAAAGAGTAGCATTCGGGCCTCTCCGATTCCATGTTTATCCGCTCTTGCAATTGCCTTGTGGAACACAAGCGTTGTAACTGCATTAGCATCTGCCTCCCCGCAGATAGATTTCTTGGACGAAGATGCCGGATATGTCTGTGTCTCCACCCGCAACACCTTCTGAGGCAACATACCAGGCTCCAAGAACACCCCTCGAAAAGCCACCTGTACACATGGAGCTCTCGATCCCTTCACGAGACCCTCGGGAGTCGCAAAGTCCAATTCAGCAGCTAAAGTTGATGTATGTCCATGGCAGCTGAGTCGGAAAACGTCTGGAACTTGCAAATCGCGATAGACTCCGCCCCCGTGCAAATCTAACACTTTCAATTCCTTGGAACACCTTAGCCGCAGCAATCCTCGCACAACAGCTGGATCATTGAGATGCTGCCAGACGTCCTGTGGCAGCCTGGACTCACCTGATTCGTACAAGATTAATCTACCACCGCTGATTTGCGCCACAGGGGAGATGGAAGCGACATCAATGGGCATGCGCGAGACTAAATATAGATCAATCATAGCTCCCAGCAACGATGCCCTGGCACCCTGATCCGCGAAAAAAGGCTCAACGGGTGACGGAAATCTATCCTTGACAGTAGCGTTGTGATCAGGAACTCGAATTTCGCCAAGTCCAAAATTGGGCTCGCCCGCCCCGATCACAACGCAGCGAGCCGCAAGAAGTTCCGCGCTCTCGATAAAATCCAGTACTGCCTTCACGGCCGGCCCGAGCGCACGTTTGATGCGTTTGTTTGCCGGAGTGGGTGAAAGCTTGCTGAGGGCTTCGATGATGGCCTCGTTGACGCCTTTCCCGGATGTCAACCTGAGCCATTGGTCTGGCGGGAAAACTTGTGGAATGGGAACGTCATCGTCGAGCGCAGATACGCGGCGAAGCAGAGGTTGGCCTCCTCGCACGTCTAAAAAACTCAAGTATTCACTGTACAACATGACACCGACCAGGGACTCACCTTCAATAACATCCAAAGCAGATTTCACTGCCGTGCGCGCTGCATCGAGATACTGCTGATCGCCCGACTCATCGATGAGAAAGATATAAGCGGCTGGCTGAACAGCCCCTTCGTCATGTGTAGCGGGGTTGTCAAAAACAGGCACATCATAAACATCTCTTGAAATCTCCGGCACATGCTCGATAGCATCCGACGCTGTTGAGAGGACGGTGGAGGAGTAGCGCGATGGTAGGTCATTCTTCGCGTTACACAAGGCACAGCGCCAGTAGCGCGCATTCATGTTGCACTTGGCCGAAATATAGCCGCCGCACGGGCGGCATCGCGGGAGATCATGGGCGCCTGGGGCAGCGGCAGCGATGTGGGTGGCGCGTGCAGTTTCCGTGAGATCCGATTCTGATAAGGGGGTAAAGCGTGGCTTGGGCGAGGGGGCTAGGGGAGCGATGAGCACGCCAAAGGGAAGGGCGGAGGCCTCGGACACGGCGGCGTCTATCGGCCAGCGGCTGCCAGTCGGGCGCAGCATGGTGCTGGAAACGCGGGGGCGCTAGCGAGGCCGTGCTTGAAGGGGAGGGTGGGACGGACTGCGGGGGGACTAGGAGCACGGAAGGGAAATGTTGGTGATGTACGGTACCAAGGGTACAGTGCTGTATCGGAAGATCACGGTGTGAAGGAGTTGAAGGGCCAAACACGTTTGGTGCATTTTGACTTAGAAACGTAGAGTCCGCGTTAGAATGGGGTGGATTGGCCTGGGGATGGCTCAAAATTTTCCGCGTTTGAATTCAACTGTACACGTGTATGTAACGATTCAGTACGTATGTACAATTGTACTGGCAACGTGTGAGGCTTCCGGATCAATTCGTCCTCACCCTCTACCCACCATCCGTACTAACGGTATATACCGTAATTTTGCCCATACCGTATCTATCACACAGCCTGGCATACAAACCTTCCCTCTACGCCATGCCCTGACTCTCGCAGCTCCCGTTTCGCGCCTCCCGTTTCGCGCCTCCAGTTTCGACGTCCGCATCTCATGCATCTGCACAAAATCACCGAAATCCCCTCGTCAACCCTCTCCGCCCTTCACACGGCCCGCCTCCGAACCGTGTCCAACGTCCTATCCCTCCCTCCCGACACATTATTGCAGCTCACCTCTCTCTCCCCCTCTTCAATACAGACTCTTCTCTCCACTCTTTACTCCGCCACAGCCGCACGAGCAATCCCGTTATCTTCTCTTCTCCCTCTTCCTTCCCCGCTGCGGACGGGGTCAAGTGCATTTGACGACGTGCTGGACGGCGGACTGCGCCCAAGAGCCATCACTCAGCTTGCGGGACAGCCGGCCACTGGGAAAACCCACTCGGCTCTTGCGATTGCTGCACATGCGTTGCGAGGAGGCGCAGTGGTTTGGCTTGACTCGTCATCCACTCATGCTATTTTTTCTCGCATATCGACCATCCTTGCCGCTCTAACGGTTGATCCCATCGAGAGGGATCTGCTATTGAGTAGACTCATCGTCCTGCCGGCATCCACCGTCAGCACGGCCTTGGCTTGTCTACGCGCTCTTCGGAAAGATCTCGTGACTCAACACAGTGTCCTGGGAGAGCGTAGTCTCTCTCAAGATGGCCCACAGAAACATCTCGCGACGGTCTTAGCCCGACTCAAGTTGGTCGTCTTCGATTCCGTCGCAAACGTGCTAGCCCCTGTGTTGGGTTTAAGGGACGGTCCATGGTCTGGACATGTTGCACTCAACCAGTGTGCTACAGAGCTCAGGTGGATTTCCAGCCGTACAGACGCCGCTGTCCTTGTCACCAACCGTGTTGTCAGAGATGGGGAACGACTGAAGCCAGCACTAGGAAATACATGGACAGCTTTGGTTGATGTTAGCATACGATTGGAGGTACTCAGTACTCGCGATGCGCAAGCGTCACTGTCAGGAGATGCGCAAATGAAAACTTTTTGTAGAGCGACTGTTTCATCGAAAAAGGCACTGCCTGGACAGTGCCAATTTCAATTGTGCGAGGATGGCATCAAGGATGTTTAAGATACAATTTCAATATATGAAACTTTCAGAAATATCTCCGTCGGACAGAAGAATCGCAGAAGTGGCGCCTTCACTGAGAGGCTCACTGGACAGGAGGGAAGTTGGTATCAATGAGGCTCGGCTGCTGCTCTCCTTGCCAGCTCGAGTGCACCGATAATGCCTATTTGATTGCCATAGGTTGATGGAACGATATATGTTTCAAGGTCTGATGTCGTCTTGTCTGTGGAAATGTAGCCTTCGTTAAGTGCTGCGAAATGGCGCCTGATTTTGTCAAAGAGGATTTTTCTCTTCATGACTCCACCGGAGAGTACAATCACGTGTGGTGATGCAATGTATGTAATCGTGATGCAGAGTTGTGCCAAATAGTATGCGATGTCGTCCCAACTAGGATGATCATCTGAGACGGTGCTAAGATCAGCCATTTCAACACCTATGCGTTCTGCACATGCGCGCGCACTTGCCATTGACTCGACAGAGAGACGATGAACTTTGCACCAGCCCGGATACGTATCACCCTCTTTGCGGAGAGCCATGATATGTCCACCTTCTGGATGAACAAGCCCGTGGACTGGCTGTCCATTGACGACCAAGCCGACACCGATGCCTGTACCGACGGTAATGTAGGCGCAGCTGTCCGCATTTTTGTGACCGCCGTACCGTCGCTCAGCAAGTGCTGGTGCATTTACGTCTGTATCAAAGCCAAGACACACGTTGAACTCGCTGAATGCCGCTAATAGATTAAAATGCTGCCATCCAGGCTTCGGGGTGGAGGTGATATAGCCATATGTAGCGGATGTCTTATCAAGGTCGATTGGCCCAAATGATGCGATGCCAAGGGAGAGGAATGGCTCAAGTCGGCGGAGAAAACGAACGATCTCGCCAAGGGTTGCGTGGGGGTCCGTCGTAGGAGTCTCTATGAGATCAACAATAGTGGTTGGATCGTCAGCGAAAGCAACTGCAGCTCGACAAGAAGTCCCTCCGAGTTCAACTGCAGCAAGTAGTGCCGTCGCGGAAACGGATGGTGATCGTAGGTGGGAATTGTCAGTGCGGGTAGGGGCTCCCGATCTTGAGTAGAGGTATGAGACTGCAGCTCCTGTTGCAAAGGCTGTAGTAAGTTTCGCGCATTGCCGCATAGTGGCAGAATTGGGAAACGAGAGATTCATCTTCAAGTCTCTAACTCGCGAAAAGGGTAGGGTACCAGGAAAAGAGCTTGTGCAGGAGGAGGATGTGCAACAAGGAAAAAAGGATGCCGAGTTTGAGGGTGAAGGAGCGATCTCTGCCCGATGCTGATCAAAAAAGGCTTACGCTGCATACTGTAGGTTGGTATAGACACGTCGCACATGCAACCTTGCTGTTCAAATTGGCATGGCAGATTGCCGGTCCCAAATCACTGTACTGTTGTGAAGATATTCGTAGTTTTACGATGGTTGATGGTCAGTGGGACATCAGCTAAGCAGGATCCAACATGCTACAGTAGCGCTACAGTAGAACAGGACGAATCAAACATTAAAAAGGACGAAAGATTCAAAAAGAAAACAAAGAAAGAGAAAAAGACATGATGAAAAAGGAGACACGACACGAGGGCGGCAGTGCCGGGGGAGAGAAATACTGTAGACATGGGGAGGAGAGGTAGCGGGATAGGACAGCTCGCTTCTACTACTTATGGGTCGGCGGCGAGACGGGTACAGCGAGACGGGTACAGCGAGACGCCCGGCTGTCAGTAAGTGCTTACAGACGCGTGCTATTTCCCGTGGAGTTTCACCCCTATACTGTACACACAGTGTACATTGACGCGTACAGTACTAGGTAAAGGCGCAGTATGGCACAGAATTAAACTTTAAACATTTGAGAGTCATTTGATGGGCTTGGATGAGATCGTATACGACCAATAAAATTCACGCAGTTGTTGCAGCACGCCTCCCCTGTCCAGGGACATTTGATTTGCCCTCCAATTATTGATACAGTAGGTACCTCTCAATAGTTCGCCCCCGTGCCAGGACCCACAGATACGACCTATTGACAGAACGAACTATTATGCTCGCCTTTCTGGCACATCTCTATTTATTGCTTAGAATGCTCTGAAATGATTGTCTGCCGTGTTCTATTCCTTGTCTGCTCTCGGTAGGTCTCGAAAAAGACTCGTTTTGCCCGACGAAGCCCTTCGCTGGCCGCAATAAGACCTGTCCTTTCTGCTAAAACCTCCACTCCCTCAAACAACGGTCGGGACCACAACGGTCTACACGAGTACACGTGTACACGTCTGAGAAGGCGTGACATGGTCCGAAAGGCGAACTATTGACCAAACGAACTATTCAACTGCGAACTATTGAGGAGCACCACTGTATTTGACATCAAAGGCACTTGGACCTCTTCCCGCTGCCACGTGAGCATCAATCGTCGGCTTCCGACCGCTTCCGTCTTTTGAAGGGCAATCGAGTCCATGCAGTGCTAGGAAAAGTTTGTCAACATCTTCTTCGGCTTTCCGTGCCAGTGCTTCATACCTGCAGTGCCAATACCACGGAACATCTTCTTCGACATGGATGCCTCCGACAATCGCAGCCCACATGTCATCGCTCTCTTTGATGTAGATGGTACTCTTACAAAACCACGCCTCGTACGTTCAATAGATCAGTTATCTCGCACTTTCTTGGATGCTAGATGTTCTCTCCGATTTGACAGCCATGCCATCTAATAACCACATCTTCTGACTCCTACATGTTTCTGCGACAATTTTGCTGTGATTGACCGTCAGGCTGCGACACCAGAGATGCTCGCATTTCTAAAGGAACTTCGCTCCAAGATTATCATCGGCATGGTCGGCGGTTCTGATTTGCAGAAGCAAAAAGAACAGCTCGGCGAAGGCGTCCTAGATATGTTTGACTACACTTTCTCTGAGAATGGCCTCGTGGCTTACAAGGGAGACCATCTCATTGCTGAAGCTTCCATTACAGCTCATTTAGGCGAAGAACGTCTTCAAAAGCTCATCAACTTCGTCCTTCACTACATCGCGGATCTTGATATTCCGATTAAGCGCGGTACCTTCATCGAATTTCGAAAGGGAATGTTGAACGTTTCCCCAATCGGACGAAACTGCTCGCAGAAAGAAAGATGTGAATTTGAGCAATATGACAGCAAGTCCAAAATCAGAGAACGCTTTGTTGCAGTGCTAAAGGAAAAGTTTCCCGAATATGGCCTTACTTTTTCTATTGGCGGCCAGATTTCTTTCGATGTGTTTCCTACAGGCTGGGATAAGACCTACGCTCTCCAGTTCGTCGATCACATTAAGGAAATTCACTTCTTCGGCGACAAGACCTACGAGGGCGGGAATGATTTCGAGATCTACGAAAGTCCGCGTACCATCGGACACTCAGTCAAGACTCCGGATGAAACCATGTCCGCTTGCAAGGCCGTGTTCTTATCCTGAGGGAACTGCTCACCGAACCCAGTGAAAGTTTTCTCTTAAAGTCCACAGTTGATCTATTCAAAATCGTTCATGATTATGAAACCCCATTGCCGTGCTGAGAGTCACTGATAACATCACAGAGTTCTGACGACGAAAGGCTTACGGTGGCCGGCTGTATCCCTCTTGACTGAGCAGACACGCGTGCTGTCAACGTCAATCGTTGTCCCCGGAATATCTCTGCATCTAGGATGTGGAGAGAAATCAAGTTAAGTCTGCAAGCATGCCATCATTGTACTCTTTCGAAATATACTAGGTATTTCACGCTTGTGAACTAGCGAAGCAGGTACAAGGGACTTTAACTTCCATTAAATAACTACAACTCATATTAGTACTAAGTGCCGTGCGTCCTTCAGAGTAGAATTATCCAAACGTCGTCCGTATCTCTCAGCCAGAGATTGCGATGACTTCCTGGAACGCCATTACGTAGGCGAATTGAACCCGCAATCGATGACGAATACGGTCCAAGGGGTGGATCCTGGACATTTCTGCAAATTTTATACGTAAATTCAGGAACTCTGCGTACCAACCAGAGCTCTTTATACTTGACAAAGAGATGCTGATTCCAGCCCGCGTCAAGCACCACATTGCCCCTCTCATGCGATAGTTGAGTGAATTTGCACTTGCATAGATACACAGAGTTTGTCATCTTCAACTTTCATTCTGCATCACCGTCTACAAAGCATCCTGCGGCTCCGACAGATACAGGAAATGATTTCAAACCTCTTGCTGCTTTGGCGATCCTGAACTCCTCGTGAAGGAATCATTTCGAGTCATGGCTTTGGATTCTCAAAGCACGACGGCAGAAACTGAACGCTTGATATCTGACCAAGAATTGAGCAAGTCGAAAGTTACTGCGCATGGAAATTCAGCCACAGGAATGTCCCGGACGTCAGCCTCTCAGGACACACCCCCGGAATTTAAAGGCGAGACAAGCGGAAGTGGACATCATTCGAGAAAAAGGATTATTCACTTTAGCTCTCTCAGCGTTGATTATCGTCGCTTTAGTGATAAGGACCCCATCGCAGGCTCGGCGCAAATATCGGAGACGGATATGGGCGAAGAGAATGACTTCTGGAATATAGATGTCGACCTAATTTGGAAGCCTCGAGGTCAAACGGGGAGCAAAACTGACTCACGAGCTGAAATTACCCATCGTTCACCAGTGGAGGTATCTGTGGACGATTTATTAACTGTACGGATATGCGTTAGTTCAAACCCAGCGTGCGTAACCATCCACATGCGAGGAGGGAAACCGTTCGGGGAGTTTCTTTTCCCAAATGGTCCGGACGCCGCAATGTCCTTCATCACTGCTCTTCAAGTACACGTGAACACTTCGCTCCTCCAGGACGAAAATAAACCCGGTAGACTTTATGTTGTGGAGAAGAGGCACCGAATGAGAAGGGTAGCACCATCTCTAACATCCCTTCCCGCAGAACAAAACAGGTTGGATGAAGATTTTTCAAATTTGCTGGATAATCTATCTTTGCATGATCCCGGTCATTCTCCGCGCCGCAATGCCCGGGCGGCAAGAGCCACTCGACGTGGTAGAACGTCGGCTCCGGATAGCAAGGATTTCGGAATGATGCTTCTATCGCAATTTGCGAAAGTAACACAAGCCGCACGGGAGGTCGGAGAAGACATATCGATGCTTCTTGACGAGAGAAAAAGACAAGCAGAAGCCGATCGTAAAGAAAGGGAACGAGCAGCTCGACGTCGTGCTTTGGATATTTATACTGATATAGTCGCCAGCACTGACGTGGAAGGGGAGCTTCCTCCTCGCTTATGTCTGGACGAAAAGCGAGGTTTACCAGTGAGCAAACAAGTATGGGAACAGTCTTTTGATGACTCTGGGGCCTTGTCAGATGCAGTAGTGATGAAGCAAGCGGTTTTTGCTGGTGGCGTAGAAAGGAATGCTCGCAAACTGATTTGGCCTTTCCTTCTTGGGTGTTACCCGTGGATATCTACGCGTGCCGAGCGCAATCAAATTAAGGTTCAGCACGAAGAACAGTATGAAGCGCTAAAGGAGAAATGGAATTCCTTGCACACCGCTGCAAAAGATGAGGACGTTGCCTCACAGGCGACGATACCCAATGCTGAAACAATGGACCGCAGGAAAAGGGTGAGCAAAGCACATGCCGATTACTTAGAAACAAATGAGCAAATTGCGAAAGATATTGTGAGAACTGATCGACATGTGGATTTGTATATGCAGGAAAATGCTCCAGCGACAGATGGTCTGGGAATCATCCTAAACGTTTATGCAACTTACGATAGCAGGATTACATACTGCCAGGGCATGTCTGATTTTTTGTCACCAATTGTACATGTGCTGGGGGTCGAAGAAGAAGCCCTCGCGTTTTGGTGTTTTGAGGCTTTGATGCGTCGTATTGAAGGCAATTTCCGCGTTGATCAAAGCGGAATGCGAAAACAGCTCTCACAGTTGCGTAATCTTGTGGAAATTGCAGACGAAGAGTTGGCAGCGTTTTTTGAGGATTCCGACCCGGACTACTACAGTTGCTTTCGCTGGATTGTGGTTCGTTTTAAGAGAGAACTGCCTTTCGAGTCAACAGCACGGTTGTGGGAGGTGATTTGGACACGTCAAGTTGCCGATGACGACTTCCATATATTCATTGCTGCAGCTCTTCTCATAGCACATCGGAGACAATTGCTGGCTCGGCCAAAGGGTGCCTTTGACTGTTTGCTCCGATACATTAACGACATGAGTATGCGCATTGATGTAGACTTTGCTTTACGTGAGGGAGAGTTGTGTTTCCGAACTTATGGAAAACTCATACCTTCAATGGATACCAATGCAGCTGCAATCGGAGCAAATTCATAATGCGCAGAACCAGTGGTTGTCAAATTCATAACACGTGCGACTACATGTCTAGAACGGTATCGCCGAAGTGGATAGACACAGGTTCGCCAAATATGTTTGTGAACTCTTCTGATAACTTCTCAGATAAAGAGTGGCCATCACGAGTACTGGTCCAATGCTTGTTTGTCGGATTCCATGCATATCTCCAAGGACCAGATACTGGTGAGCTCATCCAAATCTGGCGGTTTGGCGTCTGTGTGTTGAGCACATATGTGCCCGCTGACCCAAATAAAATTGTGAGTACTCCCTGACCAAACTCGACGTCGAAACCTTCAAGGCCGCTCTCCGTTCTGTTGCCAATATCGGAGGCGACATCGGATATATATTCCAGACATGCTTCTGCCAAATTGGTAAATTCATGGGCAGGCCACTCTTCCCCCATGGTCGCGTCTCGCGCATCGACTTGCGACGAAAAGGATCGCGTATGATCTGGATATGATACGTGGGCTAGTCGTTGTCGGGCATGAGATTGCATTCCTCGAGATGTTAGGAATAGGCACTCCAGGGGTTTGGCAGAGTACTTCGGGGCAAAGAAAGACTGAGGTAAGGATGATCGATAGACAGTCCGGGAAATTTCAACTGCCCTGCTCTGAAGAGCTTTTGTAACTCGCTGAATGATCCTGACCTGCATATTGAAGGTCGATTTAGCTGCTTGTGTCTAAATACTCTCATCCGTCCATGAATATGGGTCGGTAGTGAATGTTCTTCCGATGATTAGCGGGTTGACAGAGTGCGGCTCCACTGGAAGTTCGACGAGGCGCCACGGTAGATCTGTTTACGCGTGTCTGCGCACAGCTGGGGTCTACCCTTGGTACACTCTACTGTACCGAAATTTGTGAAGAGTAGCAGTGACGTTGCGCTGGGCGTTGCGCTGTTATGTTGCACGAGCGGATCCTCTCCAAGGAACTGGCGGTACCCAAGGGTACAGATCCAAGCCATTTGCGGTCTGCTTGGCGATACAGTGCGTGTACTGTAAATCTATTGAGAATTAGAGCAATAGAGGTACCCAATAAAAATTAAGCACTTGGCCAGAAAGTTTTGACTTGAGAAGCGAATACTGTCACTGCGTAAAGCCCTGAAGGGTACAGTATCTTAGAGATGCAAACCTCATATGATCAGACCTCATAATGCTGTACCCAAGGGTACAGCATGGGACGACACGTGCCATCTTGTGTAGGCTTCTCTGCCAGCACTCAAGTCAACCCGCAGGCTGTTCATGAGTGGAGTCACATGACTCATGCTTTTGATTCTCCTGATCCGTATCTTCGTCCGCAGCAGCATTACTGCTGGATGCTGCGTGCTGGAACAACTCATCGTTGCCGCTGACGTCACCACCGCTACTCTGGCTATCGCCACCACGCACTTCTTGCCATCTTCTTCTCCACTTGAAGACCGGCCCAACGACGAGTGGAGATAGGAGCGTCGGAATTACCACACCCCACGTCGTAGCCGCGTATATCCTATCACTCAACAACCCAGCAGCCCTCGCCTGCGACGCGATCAAGAATCCAAATTCTCCCCTTCCAAGCATGGCTACTCCAATAGCCATCCCATCTACAACATTCGGTAGCAGACCTAGACCACAAAGCAGCTTTCCAAACACCGCGACAACCGCCAATAAAGCACCGATTCCAATAGAACTTTTTGAAAACAAGTCCCTGAGCGGAATAACAAAACCAATAGTCCCTGCGAAAAACAAAAGTGACAACCATTCAATGAACCCTTCTACGTGTTGTTTCCATGGGTCTTTCCCGATGTTTGGCGAAACTTCACCAAACGCAACGCCGCTGAGATACCCAGCCAGTAGGAAACTTGTGTTAGCCACAGTCGCCAAATATGTCGCTCCCACAGCTACAGACATTAACATCCACAGCCCAGCGATCGGGAACAATCGCTCAGGGATCAGTAAAATTCTGAAGCCAGCTTGGACCGTGTGCGGTAATAGCAAGGCTACTGCGATTGAGCAAACAACGAAAATAATCGAAAACACCACCGGCCGAATCAAACTCCAAACTGTCGCATCTTCTCTGGCCACCGCCAGCACCTGTGCCAACAACACTAGGCTGATGACATCGTCAAAAACAGCCGCCACGGAGACTAATTGCCCAATAGGTGTCTCTAGCTCACGCACTTCGGCAAGAAGCCTCGCCGTAACCCCCAAAGAGGTTGGTGCAATGGCAGCACCAACGGCAAAGGCAGTCTTGAGACTTCTCGACGTCTCGAACGTTCCCTCGACTAAATCGGTGGCGCAAATGACTAAACAGCATCCTGCAATTGGAAACAGAACGCCAAGGACTGCCACAATAATTGCTCGAAAGGCAGACGCACGTAAATCTTCCAGGTTCGTGCCAAGTCCAGCTTCAATGACACTCAATTGGATTCCCAAAAGCCCCGACAGTACTACCCCATCTGGAATCGGTACGATATTCGCAAGAGGTGGCCCCAGCAAAGCACCTGTGGTAATAAAGGCCACGACTGGAGACACCTTCACACACTCGGCAAGCTTACCAACTGCGTACGATGTGCCCATAAAAACAGCGAGCCGGACTAGATCTTCCTCATTCGTCATACGGTATTGGATGGTATGAAAACAGCTGCGTCTCTCGCTGAAGTAAGCGCAACTGAAATTCTTCCTCTGCAGATGCACAGAACAGATAAATCGCACGAAGGTTGACGGGTTCTGATTTCGAATATCTCGAGATTCCCCCCGTGAACGCCGACCAAGAGCTGATGAGATTTTGTAGTGTAGGGAGATGTCAGAACTTGCCTCGCAGACTCCAGACTTGACGCGTAATCACGGGTCCTGGACGCCAGGGATAGGAAAAGGTGATGAGGCAAAATGGTGATCCGCACATGGCATGCATGTTTCTTTCATTCTTTCTTCCGAAAACAGGCTAAATATTCCGTTGGCAGGCGAGGTATGTCGCATAAGATTGAGCTCAGGGCAGAGTGGGGCAGCAGGCACTGAAAGACTGTCATCACAGTATCCGCACACTGAGCACTAGTTTTCAAACTGGTCCAAAAGACCCGACAAACATGTCAACTGTAATCTTGCTGGTGCAAAGTGGGCAGTGGGCATGTCATGCTTGCACTAGCAAGGTCCTTTTCAGTTGTCCGACCTACGGACTGTGTTTACTTTTGGGACTCATTTCAGGCTTTTAATCTGGGTCCTCATGCATACAGATAGGGATAGAGCAGAGGCGCAGACGCGCGAAAGATATGCAATCCGTCAACGAAGACCCAATCATTCCACCTGCGCAAATCCCCGTGAGCGCAACATCGGCCAATTGCGCGGGTCATCCCATACAAAATAAACCCCCGAAATATGCGTCGCACTCGCAAAAAGTCGCTACAGCTTCTTCACTGTATTGTTGCAATACAGCCGTGAAACACATGCAGTATAGCAGTCCTGGTCAACGATCCTACTGCACAAGATCTGCCTGTTCATGTGGACAAGTTGGTAGAGGCTACGAGCGCTTTTGATCCGACACCCTGGCAACTGCAAAGGCCGCAGAGTTGCTATGTGAAACACGTGTCGCAGCACGGCAACCTCCAATAACCAAGGGAAGAATAGAAGCACGTCGTTCTATGTGGCAGCGCAAGACTCTACAAAAGGCCGTCATCCTACTCGGCTTTTTTCTTGTGACATTGTTTTCGCTCTCTGCTCCACTCAAGCGCACCAAGATGACCACCTCCGATTCTCTTCGGCTTGTGATTGTTTCAGACACCCATCGGTCTTTCAGTCACCCAATCCCAGATGGTGATGTGTGGATTCACGCAGGCGATTCCGAACTCACGGCGAGCGAGATGGATTCGTGGGCGGCTTCCTTGCCTCACAGTCACAAACTCGTTGTTTGCGGGAACATGGATAGTCGATTGGAGAGAGAGAAACACAAGTTACAAAATGTAACATATCTCCAAGACTCCCACGTGGTTCTATCAGGCATAAAAGTATACGGGTCGCCATGGACTCCAAAGTTTGTCGGTGTCTTTCAAATAGAGAGCGGCCAAGTCGCACATGAAGTATGGGAGAGGGTCCCCCCGGATGTCGACGTGTTAATCACACACGGGCCACCAAAAGGTGTCTTGGATCGCACAAGCCGGGGTTTCACGGTCGGCGATGAGCATCTCCGACGTGTGGTGGAGCAAATAAAACCGCGGTTACACTGCTTTGGCCATGTGCACGAAAGCTATGGCACAATGCAGACTGACGATACGATATTCTGTAACGCTGCTGTTTTCAACGGGAAACCCCCGATCGTTGTGGACGTCCCTTTCAACAAAAACCTTGCTGCCTCTGTGCTGTAGATTGAGGTGTGACTTCTGCGTCGTTGTCGCGTCTCGTCTTCATACGCCAGTTTTCGAGGTCACAGATGAAATACAAGAAAGGCAGGTATCTACCTGATTGTCTTTCATATCAGAGAAGCGTTTCTGTTCTTTCCAGAGATAAGGAAGCTAGTCTTTTGGGCATCGGGTTTGCAGCTGTCTTCAGCTTTCGCCTTTTCATAGACCTTCCACATGACTTAGCGTCAGATTTGGCGGCGAAAAACGATTTGATGTCTTTTGTTTTGACGGCTTTCTGTGCTGAGCTCGTTTCATCGGCTTCATCTTCATCACATTCCCTGTGATAAGCAAACGAAAGACAAAGAGATGGAGAAAAATGGTCAAATGTTAGTGCATGAAGTAAAACAGGAGCGGGAAAATGACCCATAGAACGAATTTGACGAACCATGCAACTGCGACAGACTTTTTTAACATGAGCAAGCGAGCCGTCCCCCATGAAAACCTCACCAGTGATGGAAATCCAAAAATGAAATCGCAGTTGCTTGCCATCCATGCCTTCGTTGTCGGATCACTGGGATAGCCACTTCCTGTGGGTCCCAAGAGCGCCACAGACAGGTTTGGGTCCGTAGCTGCAAAATGGGCACTCCTTTCCTGTTCTGGAAATATCCACTCGCGAATGTGGTGATCTCTAGTGGTTTTGGCAACGATACTGGCTGCCCCAACTATACGATATGTAGAGTCAGCTTTTTTGGCAACAACAACTTTTTCCAATGCTGGAAATCGATCTTTAAACTTTGCAGCATACCGACTCGGGTCACCAACAGTATCAACAAACACTTCTGTGACGTTTACTCCTTGAGCTAGAATGTTTTCAACAAGTTGAAGAGCCGTATCGTGGGAAATAAGATTCAGATTGTACTTTGCCCTGCGCAGCATTTTTTCGCTGAGCTCTTGAGCCGAGAGCACGGTAGTGACGGAAGATAAAAATGGTGCGGAATCAATTTTTTTGCGTAGTTTGTCTCGTTGCTCTTCTGTAAGTTGTTTCGAATCATCGGCCCCCAGGGCGTTCAGCTCTGGGACCTTGCTCTTTGCGCAATATGCAGCTGTGTAAATCATTGGACCCAATACAGGCCCTCGTCCAGCTTCATCAATTCCCACAATACAAGGCTCCCTGTGCCATCCAACATCTTGGTTGTCAACGGGTTCTGACATTGTCCGTGCTATGGGTTGCCTGGACGGATGACTTGCCGTTGAAAAGGCGTAAAGCTCACTGCATCTAATTGTCGATGCCCCGAAGTGTGCCTGAGGTAGGGATATGCAAGATTCGAGGTGGATGTAGAAGTTGCGGAGCGCAAGGGAGGCAAAATGCTGCCCACTAGGGGCATGCCCACTTTGGGATCGCGCATGAGTTTTCCCGCCAAAACGTTTGTTTGACCTCACAACCGCGGCACACAAATTTGTCCTCATCATGGAGTTGTCTCATACACACTGTAAAGAGTACAGTAGATCTCAACCTCAATTAATTAATAAAATTACAAGAGCTAGTTCCTGAGCAGAGCAAAGTGTTTGCTACGCTGGACAAAGAAGATACTAAAAAACACAACACAATAGCCCTTTTTAATTAAGGATTTTCCCCTTATGAGACAAGCCCTCAAATCCATGGCTTCTGTAGATTTGAAATAACGGTAAAATGCTATTATGTGTACACGTGGCCAGGGAGACGCAAAGTTGGGAATTCTTTGCGATGCACCCATCGCGAGTCCTAGACGTTTCCGCGGAAAGAAAAAGGAAACAAAAAGAAAGGCTTCTATTGCAATTCCTGAAAATATTGAATACATTACGGTATTGGGGTGTGACTGTACAGTATAAACCTTTCAGGCGGGTTGGCGCCAAGACTTCGGTTCAACTGATGACCTGAACAGTATCTAAGGGTACACCTCTGCGAACAGCCGTGCAAACAGCACCACCCCGTTCCCCTCACAAAGAGAAGTGAGAAAAAAAGAAACAGAAAAGAAAAGTTTATTACAGAAAAAAAATCAGCACCACCCCGTTCCCCTCACACCCCGTTCCCCTCATAAGGAGAAGCGAACACGTGTACTTTACAGAAAAAAAGTGAACACGTGTAATAACGAGTCCCCTTTTTTTGCTTACACCTAGACTAACGTCTAGGAACTAACGTCTAGGAACACGTGTACTTTACTACTTTACAGAAGAAAAGTTCAGCACCACCCCGTTCCCCTCATAAGGAGAAGTGAACACGTGTGCTTTACAGAAAAAAAGTGAACACGTGTAATAACGAGTCCCCTTTTTTCTTGCTTACACCTAGACTAACGTCTAGGAACATGAGCAAACCTCACACCACGATCTCTAGCTTTCCCAACATCATGGCAGACAAAAAAACTTCCTCCTTCCCGTTTTGCTCCTGAAGCAAATGAGCCAAACCAGTGTTCAGACAGAAACCCTGATTTGTCAAGGGGTTGCTCTGTCAGGATTTCGTCGAGGGGTGGAGGACGATTGTGAGGATGAGTCTGAAGAGGAGGAGGGACCGTACGGAGCGGTGTGCGAGGAGGTGCTCGGCGTGGACGGCCTGCTCGCGACGCTGGCGTCTGTGCCGGCCGCAGCACCTGTGCCGGCCGCCGCAGCTGTGCCGGCCGTCGCGCTGGGGTGCCTGTGCGGTGTGGCGACGGAGGCGAGCGCGCGGATCGGGGAGACGTTGGACCGGATGGGGCTGCTGGAGCGGCGCGACGGCGGCTTCCGGCTGGGCGCACAAGTCCGGTCCGCGGCGGCCACGGCCGCACAGCGGTGCGGGGGGCTTCCTGCCGGCGGCGCACGCGCGCGTGATGGACGGGTACCACGCGCGGCTTGGGGCGGGCGCGGGGCGCAGCGAGAAGCGGGCGTGGTGGGCGGCGCCGGCGCCGGCGCCGGACGCGGAGTGCGCGGACGGGAGCAACCGCGGGCGCGAGCTGGCGCGGCACCTAGCGCTAGCCGGGCGGACGCGCGAGTTGTTCGCGGTGGTGTGCGAATACCGGTGGCTGGAGACGCGGGTGGGACGAAGCGTGGATGGGCGGTCCGTGCGCGGGTACGTGGGTTATGTGCGGCGGTTTCTGGCGGCCGCGCCAAGGTTCTCCAAGGCCGGGAACCAGGGGGGCGAGAGCGTCGAGGAGATGCGTGAGGGCATGGAGAGGGTGGCCGCCGCGGCGGAAAGGGCGACGGCGGTCGTCGCAAAAAGGCCGGCGGAGCTCGCGTGGCAGAAGTTCGGTAGGTTGGAGAGGTGGAGGGAGAGGGAAGTTGTGGTGAAGAGGTTTTTGGGCGGCGTGGAGCGGAAGGCGGAGCGGCTGAGGCGGGAGGAGAAGGGGGGGCTGGACGTGTGAGGGGGAAGTTGGGAACAATGTCTGGGAAGGGTGCTGACGGAAGGTGATGGAAAATAAGCTAAGCTTTTAGTCAGAGCTTGATGGAGCCCAGTCTTATTTGTTCCACTGTTTCGAAACAAGCTGGAATTCTAACATTTTTGTCGGGGTAATTAAGCAGCACTCAGGCTCACTTCTTGTCTTATTTCAAAAATAAGCATGATTTTCCCTTACTTAAAAAGGGATAATAGCGAGCTTTTGCACGCGCAAAATCGATAAAAATCGATATCAGGGCCATTCCATTCATCGTGATTGGCAATCACGCAATCACGCAATCACGTCAGTAAATAGTGCCTGCTCCCTTGTGGTTGGTTGTTTATATTACGTTTCCTAAAAAATGGCCATGCTCATTAAAGAAATAAACAATCGACTTAAAATTAATCTTGTGCTCCAACTTCCTGTGATGCTCCTTGCAATTCTAAAAGATTTAAACCCCATTTGTGGCATAACGGCGGTTCGCGATTAGATTTAGATCAGATCAATACGAACCACACGCGCGCACACGTGTACCCCCACGTGTACGGAGGACGCGGGACCACACGCGTACACGTGTAGGAGGCGCGTACCACCGCGCGCACAGTACGCGTCCCACACGTGTGCTGTCAGCCCCGACGGCTGACAGCATTACAGCGCGGGACGACCCGCGCTACAGTAAGTTACTACAGCATACCGGTACTGTAGTATTATGATAGACGCATTGTATACATTAAATACGAGCGCGACCGGCGGCGGGGTAGGTGGACAAGCACGGACTTGTCCACGACCTACCGCCTAGGTTCGTCTTCCAGCTTAACTAACGAGCGCGATCCGCCTTCGCGCGCGCTAACCGGGACAAAGCGGGTAGGGGACAGCCGCGTACGCGAGCGAGCCTCGATCCGCCTCCGCCCGTCAGCGCTGGTACGTTACCCAGCGCTGCTCCGGGGCGTCGAGGCGTAGATCGGCCCGCGCGTACGCTCGTCCCCGACCGTCCCGCTCTACCACGCTACCAGGGCCCGCTTCCCTGTCCCGTTAGCTGTGTGTTCTCCCTGTCTTCTCACCCCTCGTACGGGGTCTACGTCGAGCTAAGTATACACCCCTCTCCGTTGGGGGGTGTTATACTACAGTGGTCTCCCGACCTGGAAGGCCCCGGAGTACGTTCTCCGAGAAGACCTCTTAGGCCCTCCGCGTCCGAACGCGTTGAGATGAGCCAGGAGTACGAGCCCTCGATGCACTCCGAAGCGGCGGATCCGAGTCCCGACGCTGTGCGATCCCCATCCGCCCCGTCGGGCGACGGCGACGCAGGTCCTCGTGACCGCGAACCGTCGCTCGGATCCTCCGAGGAAAGAGCGGCGGCGATGTTCGAACGCATAGCCGAATACATCGAGGAAGTCCGTACTTCCCTTCGGATCGATGTATCGGACCATGTATACACTCGATGTATGGCCGAGCTCCGCTCCCTGCGTGAAGGGAGGTTCGATAGAGTGACGCAGTCCTTAGAGAATCTCCGAGCACTTATCGACGAGTTACACTCGCGGATAGTGCTCGTCGAAGACTCACGTCTCGTATCGCCCGGACCATCCGGGCAAGGTCGTCCCGAGTGGCCGACCCCTACAAGACGACCTGAGGACCGATCCTCCCCGTCCGCGGAACAGTTGGGTGCGTTCGCGCACCTCTCCGCCGAGCTCAACGCCACGCGTCGGCGTGCTCGTGACATGGAACGGACCATGGCTGCAAGGCTGCCCGGTGCCCCCACGAGAGGGCCCGGTGGTACCGTACCTCCGAGCGCCGTCGCTCCGGACCGTTGGGGACCGGCTGGTGCCGACACCAGCCGAACCGCGGAAGGCAACCGCCTTCCGACAGGCGCGAATTACGCGTCTGAGACCCAAGCATTGCCGCCTATCCCCGGAAGTAGGCGGCAGATGGAACGCGTATCGTATCGCGACGACCCTGACCGTGGAGGAGCCGCCCGCGGATCCGGAGTACCGACGTACTCTGTCGATCCCCGCTGGGGCGGCTACCCGCCGGCGAACTGCGCCGAGCATCCAGGTCCGGTAGACGTCCGTACGCTACCCGTAACCCCCTTCGGCACGCTGGGTCCCGCCGAACCCGGACTCGAGCCGGTACATACGATGATCCAAGAGTTCAGCGCCGTCGCTGACTATCGTATGTACCGGCTGGATAACACCTCGAGGCTCGTTACCTCGGGTGACGCGGGACGGATCGCGAAGTACGTTCAACGCTGCCGTGGGATCCGACCTACGATGAGGAGCTTTGACGGTTCGGAACCGATCCAGCTCCTACCGTTCTTGAAGGATGTCTGAATAACCTTCAACTCGCAACACCTTACCGAAGGTGTTGCGGTACGAGTCCTCGCGCACTTCCTAGAGCGCGACGCGGAGCGCCTGTATACGAGTTATACAATGCGTGGCCTCCGCGCCGGCCAGCTACACGACGACGTGAGCTGGCCGGGGCTCGTGAACCAGTTCCTGAAACGCTACCTAACCGACGACGTGATAGGTGAAGCGTACGACGCTGTCGCGATGGCGCGACAGCAATCTCATGAAACGGAGAGCACGTTCGCGGACCGGCTCGAAACTGCCGCGTTCCGGTGCACGGCGGTGTTCTCCGAACAGTCCCTCGCGCACTACTTCGTGCGGGGACTGGCA